GCCTTTTGGCTAAGATCAAGTGTAGTATCTGTTCTTATCAGTTTAATATCTGATACGTGAGCCATTGGTTCACATGATATTAAATTAATTTTTTAGAGGGGAAGGTCCACTCTGGTAGCTTGCTACTGGGACCTTCAAGCGTCGCCTAGGCGTTGCACTACAGCCAAGGCCTGGCGCACCCTACCAATACAAGTTTAAGTCTTCAAGCTGTATATGATAAATACTCTTAACCCTCGGACTACCAATGCAAATGATTGTGGTGATAACTAGTTTAATCTTCAATCAACATTCTGATTCAATGAGAGGTCTCATTGGTAATATTCTCTGGAAGTAAATGGTTAATGTAAACAGAGGGCAAAATTTCTTGTTACTCAAAAAAATATGCTCAAACTCATCCTTTCATCTATAGAGAGAATAATTAGATGTAGTAGAAAGAAGATTATTCTAGCAAAAATGCTAAATGGCATTTTTTATTTTTGATGGGTTTTATGATGCCAGATGAGGTTCATTTTTGTGGCACGGGCTGCTTCTAATTAGTCCCACATCAAAAGTTCACGCAAACTACTAACAAGGTATATGATTTTTTGGCTAATATCAAAATGTATTATGTTTTTATATCAGTTTAATAATTCATGAGTAATTGAATGATACCTTTTGCTATTTATACTATTTATAAGATTAACTAAAAGCACCCTAGTACTCAAATTCATCCTGTCATTCCTCAAAAAAATTATGTTCAAACTCATCCTGTCATGTCTCAAGAAAATATGCTCGAACTCATCCTGGCAGTACCAGATGCAGAGAAAGAGGATTGTCTGGTGAAGATAAAGTTTCATTGAGTCACAGGAATTTGCCCCATATTACCTGAGCTTTTCCAGTTTGTCCCACATGGAAACAACAAGCATTAGCGAGACGAGGAGCATCATACAAGAGGAATGCTCAAACCCTCTACAATGCATACCTTTCTCGGCCTTTTGGCTAAGATCAAGTGTAGTATCTGTTCTTATCAGTTTAATATCTGATACGTGAGCCATTGGTTCACATGATATTAAATTAATTTTTTAAAGGGAAAGGTCCACTCCAGTAGCTTGCTACTGGGACCTTCAAGCGTCGCCTAGGCGTTGCACTACAGCCAAGGCCTGGCGCACCCTACCAATACAAGTTTAAGTTTTCGTGCTGTATATGATAAATACTCTTAACCGTGGGACTACATCCCAGATCAAACATCCTTTACTTTCCATTTTTTTATTTATGTTTATCTTGATTTACATGCCCCACATTCGTAGCAATTTGATTGTTTTCTTATTTATGTTATTTTGATTTCAGATTCTCCAGATTAACCGAGCTCTGTTGTTAAACTTCCTTTTTTCCTTTTTTTCTAATGCATTTTTTCATGTTTAATCTGATTGATTTTGTCTATTTTATAAGAGCCGAAATAATATTTCTAATGCTTTTCATGTTTATTGGATTTTTTTCTTGACTGCTTTTGATGCAACTAATGGGATGGATCCAACTTAGAATTTACCCAGATGTTTGAACTAGTTGGAATATAGGCAAACTCCCACATCGCTCCCTTAAAACGGTTATCGGTTCGTATGAGATAGAGCGCATGAGGACTTTTGTACCAAATAATATGCAAATTGGCAATATTTTGATAATTGCCTTTATTTTAATTCAAGTGGTCTTTAATTTAAATACAACCATCTCCTGGTTAGCACATTCAAACATTGTTTGGCAATATTTTTGATATTTCCATTGATTAGATAGACCCCAAAAAATGATTTCAATTCTCTTAGTTTAATGTCAAGGGCGCAAAGACCGAAGATAAACACAGTATTGGGCTTTTGGGTCAAGTTGTTGTTGCTAGACAACTTAACTAGTTACAGATCAATTGGAATGTAACCTAACCAGACGGACTCCCACATTGTTCCTTTATGTCATCGCAGCCCTGTTTATAATAATAATAATAAAAAAAACAGAAGGCATTGTTGTTCTTCGGAGATATCTTATAAAAAAATTGAAATGATACAAAAGAAAATTAACATGGCCACAAATTGGGAAATGGTCCAATGTTTTTTTTCCAAAATTTTCACTAAATCGATCTTTAGGTTTGTTCCAAACAAATTTATTTTCTGTGATTTTTCTTTTTTAATTTGAAGATTCTTTTTTTCACTACAGTTCACAATTTCCAACTCTGTTGAGCTTTGTTGTCAATCTTTCCGTATTTCCTGATATGAATGCGTACATTTATTCTCTAGTAATGTTTGTAGTTTCTCACCCTCTTGAAATTCACACAAGCACATTGAACACATATCATCTTCATTCACAAAAGGCCGACCCTTTTCGGTATTAATAGGCCGGATTAAGTTGCGCTCTTGAATTCTCAATGCATCTACGCCCCTTGAAGATTTTAGGTAAATTAGGAATACATGTTAGAATGAAACTTATAGATGTCTTATCAAGTTCGGCATATATCTCGGGCTAAAGTTTTCAAAATATTCTCCAGTATCAACATATTTACATAATGAAGCACAATATTACTATCATCTTGAAACTAGGTTCTGATTGCCTGGAAAATTGTGATTATCTGAGGTTGACAGGATGTATGATGACACTCTGTAGCATAACAGGCTGTGACCCTGCAGAACTGGAATCTGGTCCATGGCGAAGCATTGGAGAGACTGGCAGCAAATGAGTGGTGTTAGTGCGGCAGAGAGGGCAGTTTGAATGTGAAAAGAGCCACATATCAACGCACGGCGCATGATATGGATGCACTCCGCTAGGGTACGCATCTCCTCACCTTTTCCATACTCAGCCAAACACACTATACAGACGTTGTCTTCTCCCTCCAAGCCCACACTCCTTTGGTACTTATGAGCTGAGATAAGTTGTGCTGTTGAAACCTCAGTGCTGCTAGGCTGTTCTTGAGGTCCAATAGAAATCTGTGGAGCGGTTGGCTCTGCACTTTGGCTTTCACAACCATCGTTGCACTAGACCATGACGAGGCAGTGATACATTGTAACCACCAAAGCTGCCAATCCTACACCCAGTAGAGCCATGGTCATGCCATGGTCTTCCATTGTGGAGAAAGATCATCAATTAGCCAGTTTCATCTAGAAAAGCACAACATGTGGCGGTCATTGCATTTTTCTGCGAAGAAGATCCGAAGGACATATGGTTAGAGAAAACTGCAAGTGGATTCTTCTTTCCATGTTCACTGAACATAACATCAAGATACTAAAATCATTTTGTTGTTAAGATTGAGAATCATTGGTGGAATGTATAAATTGCTTTCTTAACTTTTAGATTTGGAGCACATTATGAAGCTCAGCAGGGTATAGGAATTTATAGGATTCTTTTAGTTGTCAGGTGTCTTCTAATGATTTAGTCAAAAACAAATCATCCATCCATACCGAGACAAAATTTACTTCATTTACTTAAACACAAAATTGGAAAATGTCCTAATCATGATTCGTGAACATTATATTAACGTACACGGTATCATAGTTGTTCTAATGAACTAGAGGAAGAAATATAAGTGGAGACGCGGTTTTTTGTCTTTGTCATTTTTAGGGCATGTCCTTAGTAATTGGTCCTTTCTTGGATCTGAATAATTGATGAATTTTACTAGTATTTAATTTAGGGAATCTTTATTTTGCAGTCTAACTTAGCTCCTCCCTGGTACATCTTGGCTATAATGGGATTGCAAATGCTAGCTCTCCAACTCCTTCATTTTGTCCTCAAGTTCATCTGCCTCAACTAATTGGCTGCCATCCAACCAATGAATAGCCTGATCAATGTATAGCATATTCAATCTTCTTCTTATCAGCTAGATCAAGTTAGGAGCTGATCTTGTCATCTCTCACTGTGCTCCTCGTGTTGTATGCATAATTCTCCATAGCATTCTTGGCTTTAACCTTCTTCTTGTGTTCCTTGTCAAGGCCTTGTATTTCTCCGCCACTTGTACCATCTTCTCAATTTCTTCCTTGGACAGCCTACCATTGTCGTTGGTGATTGTGATCTTGCTCTTCTGGCCAGTAGTCTTGTCCTCGGCAGAGGCATTCAAGATACCATTTGCGTGAATGTCAAAACAGAAATTGATTTGAGGCACACCCCTAGGTGCTAGAGGAATACCAGTAAGCTCAAACTTGCCCAACAGATTATTGTCCTTTGTTCTTGCTCTTTCACCCTCATGGACTAGGATAAAGACACCAGGTTAACTGTCTGAGTAGGTGGAAAAGATCGATCTGCTCGTTCGTAGGAATGGTAGTGTTCCTTGGAATCAAGACAGTCATGACACCACCAGTAGTTCCGAACCGAAGAGACAAAGGAGTGACATCCAGGAGCAACAGATCTTATACCTTCTCATTACCCTCACCACTTACGATGACAGCCTGAGCAGCAGCACTACAAGCAACAGCTTCATCTGGATTGATGCTCTTGCAAAGACTTCTTCTGCACCTTTGGAATTTCGGTAGAACCACCAACAAGAACAACATCGTGGACGCTACTCTTGTCCATCTTAGCATCCCTCAAACACTTCTCAACAGGCTCCATAAACGTTCTGAACAGATCCATATATTGAGTTTCTCAAACCTTGCACTAGTAATTGTCGAATAGAAATTGATACCTTCACAGAGAGAATCAGTCTCAATGGTAGTCTGAGCAGTAGATGACAGAGTCCTCTTAGCCCTCTTGCAAGCAGTCCTCAGCCTCCTCAAAGCTCTTACGGTTTCTCTTGAACTCCTTAACAAATGGTTGACCATTCTGTTATCAAAATCTTCACCACCAAAGGAGAGTATCACCAGCAGTAGCCTTTATTTCGGCAAAAATTCCCCATCCAATTCAATATTTTTCATAACCCACAAAGGAAAAAACTTTCCAAAACTACCCAGTAATCAATCACTTGCCTAAATCTGACTAACACCCATCCTCTACTTTTTCCATTTACTACAAAAAAAAACTCGTTGAATTCATACCTAATTTCAAACATTATTAGAAACATTGTTCATGGAACTAATTAATAAATTATGTAAACTAAAAACAATAGGAAAGTGCAGAGGAAAAGAGTTCCTTACCGAATACGGTGTTGGTGGGGTTCAAGGCCAGCTGGTTCTTGGCGGCGTCACCAATTAGGGGCTCAGTTTCTGTGAAAGCCACATAGGACTGTGTGGTTCTGTTGCCTTGGTTGTTAGCTATGATCTCTACTCTGTCATGTTGCCACACTCTGACGCAGGAGTATGTGGTACCCAAATCGATTTCGATAGCTAGTCCCTCACCTTTTCCAGCCATTGATACACCTTACTTCGACTCAAAAAAAAAAAAGAAAAAAAGAAAAAAAGTAGCAAACAGAATTCTCAGAGATTGAGAAATTAGGATTTCTCTCGACGCAGCAGATTGCAGAAATCTAAGACACGAAGAACAGGTAAGGTTGGAGTTTATACGAGGATTTCGCACCAAGTTCCAGCGAGTTCAATACTACATATCGTGGTTGTGACCGTTGGATCTGACCGCGCCCGCTGAGGTTTCTTGTTTTCTGGTTGGTTCCGGAAATTTCTTTTTGAATTAATTTCTTTTTCTTTTTTTAAGTGAAAATTTCTTTTTGAATTTCTCCTTTCTTTTTTTTTAAGTGGAGATTTTTTTTTTCTTGCTGATTGTACAACAAGATGTAACTCTTTTTTATTTTTTATTTTATCATATTTATATATCATGTGATTCAAATTTAAAATATCTTATTTTATTTTAAAAAAAATTACTATTAAATTATTTAGATTAATTACATTTTTTTTTTCATTTTGAATTTCAATTTAACAATTTTCGGTGGGAGTGGGATTATATATTTAATAAGTCCCTGAACTTTTGCTTTTTTGACAATTTACACCATTTAACTTTGAAGTATAATCTACCAAGTACCGACGTAAAATTTGGGGAAATAGTTGATTCTCTTGGGGTGGGGGGGGGGAATAAACGTCTGTACATTTCAATTCATGACCGTTTCAGGAATATTAGGAGCTTGATTAATTACTTTCATAGTCATATCATGTTTGGAATTTGTTAGAGGCAATTTCTTAATGAAAATATAAATGTTAGAGCATTGAATGCCGATTCATTTTGCACTTTATTGATATGGAATTAACTTTTTTTCAAAACATTTGCACTCTACACCCTATAGTTTTGGAGTATAGGCATGCCAAGCTACTGTAACACTTCCCAACAGTGGTGCTTGTGGCCATATCAAACATTATATTAAATCACTTATCTTTATCATTTTCATTTTTTTGTCGTAGTCATAAGTAACTTGCTATTGTTGTATAGTTTCAAGTGATGAGAAAAACTTTCATGGTATCAACAACATCTTAGCTCGAATATGGTCGTCCTTCAACTTGCATGAAATGTTTTTGCAGGATCTCATGGTTCTCTTTTTGTTTATTGTGTTGTTTTCCGATTGGATTTTTTTTTTAAAAAAAAAATTTAAATCCAATTTCCCATTTTTTTTAGCATAGAGTAGAGTAGAGAGGAAAAAGACTAGAGAGCAAGCATATGATCCGTGGAGGCATAAAAAATGTTAAACAAAAAGCAGTAACTAGCATCTTGCGCTGAAATGATGTTTAAAAGGAATAAAGGAGCATGGTAGCCAGTGGCGGAGTTAGGGGAGGTGCGAGGGGAAGCGCTCGTCTTCTGAAATTTGAAAATATTGTAAATTAGTATATAAAAAATTATCTAATCTCTCTTAAACTTTGAAAGTTTTAATATTTTACCTCCCCTGAAAAAAATTTCTGCCTCGCCACTGATGGTAGCCAAAGGACGCCGCCTTTCTTTCGCCATATATATTCTTTCTGCTCTTCATTCCTCCCCGTTTCCCCAAAATTATATGCCTGCCCATTTTTTTTTTTTAAACATTGGAATAAGACTCGACTCCACAACTCAAGGTAACATAAAATAATTTTTTACAAGGGATTAGTAATCATTATGCCATAATCCTATTCTTTATATGCCTGCTTGTTTTAAAGATACAGTTCACTGACAAACAAATAAATTAACTTGTGATATTTACCTAAAAATACCATCTGATCTTGCTTTAAATTAGGCAAATTATGATTACCTTATGTGGTTTGAGGTGAGTTTAACCTCAAATTACAAAAATGTGTATTTAACCCATATATATACTTAAATGTGCACTTAAATTCAAAATGTGACATAACATTAATTTTTATTAGTTTTGTTTATCCTTTATCCTCAATGAAATATGTTAATCGGTGGAAAAAAAATAAAAATAAAATATGTTAATCGATGTAATTGTACTCTTTTTTTTTTTGGCAGAAGGAAGAGAGGTGATATATATATATATATATATAAGGTAGTAGGAAGAGATGTGATTTACTTCTAACCGTTTGATGACATGATTGCCATAAAAAAATTAAAGGAGAAGGAAAAAGAAAATATTTTTTGATTTTATTTTTTTGTTTAATTTAATTATTTATCTAAATAAGAAAAAGAGAGGGAATGAAAAGGTATGATCCCTTCTCTTTTATTCTTTTTAATCAAAACATAAGGTTAAGAAATTGTTTAGGTAACATATAAACAATACGATTGTATTTTATTCAATTACTAAGAATAATTAAGAATTGTAACAATCAGTATAGAATAAATAATATATGTAATATTTATAATTTAAGAGTTTAAAATAAACTCATAAAATAATATTTTAAAGCACTTTAATAATTATAAATTAATAAAACTAAGTAAATTAAATGTGTTTAATATTTTGTGTGGCCTAACAAATATAATATATATTTTTTCCTTTTGTTTCTCTTACCAGCCCTTGAACCCAAGACCCATGACTCATAACACTGGAACTCAAATGCTTAAGTTCAAGTACTTAGCCAATGGGCCTATGGGAAGGCCGGTAACAAATATAATATGATATCACGAAATAGTAATAAAAAGCAAAAAAAAAAAAAGATTACTCATGCAGTGGATCAAAAT